CTATTAATGATGGCCTGGACCCATTCCACGGGCTTGTGCGCCGCCATGCTCAGGCGGATGCGCGCGCCGCTATGTCTCCTATCAGTCACTTTTGCGATCCCGATTCCTGCTCCCGATTCGCCCTGGGTGCACCAAATACCCCCTAAACCGCTCCGCAAAATAATCAAGGAGGAGAATAGAGGTGGAGGGAGGAGGGGGGTTTGGTTTAGTTTTTCACTTCAAGCATACTCCACCACGCCGCCATGACACACCACCGGAAGTTTGAATCCTCCTCTCTCTCCCTGGTTTCAGTCTGGGTGGCTGCGCATGCGCAGAAATGCTACTGAGTAACTGGACCATTACAAGAGGAATGGGCATGTGGTGATGTGGTTTTACTCGTGATCTATCTATCTATCTATCTATCTATCTATCTATCTATCTATCTATCTATCTATCTATCTATCTATCTATCTATCTATCTATCTATCTATCTATCTATCTATCTATCTATCTATCTATCTATCTATCTGTCTATCTATCTTTGTCTGTCTATCTATCTATCATTGTCTGTCTATCTATCTGTCTGTCTGTCTATCTGTCTATCTATCTATCTGTCTGTCTATCTATCATCTGTCTGTCTGCCTGTCTATCTATCTATATATCTTCTGTCTGTCTGTCTGTCTATCTATATATCTATCGTCTATCTTTCTATCTATCTATCTATCTATCTATCTATCTATCTATCTATCTATCTATCTATCTATCTATCTATCTATCTATCTATCTATCTAACTATCGTCTGTCTATCTATCTATCATTGTCTGTCTGTCTATACGTCTATCTATCTGTCTGTCTGTCTGTCTGTCTGTCTGTGTGTCCATCTATCTGTCAGTCTGTCTGTCTGTCCATCTACCTGTCTGTCTTTCTGTCTGTCTGTCTATCTATCTATCTATCTTCTGTCTGTCTGTCTGTCTGTCTGTCTGTCTGTCTGTCTGTCTGTCTGTCTACCTATCTATCCATCATCTGTCTGTCTTTCTATTTATCTATCTATCTTTATCTATCATCTGTCTGTCTGTGTCTATCTATCTATCCTCTGTCTATCTATCTATCTATCTATCTATCTATCTATCCTCTGTCTATCTATCTATCTATCTATCTATCTATCTATCTATCATTGTCTGTCTGTCTACGTCTATCTATCTGTCTGTCTGTCCATCTATCTGTCTGTCTGTCTATCTATCTATCTTCTGTCTCTCTGTCTGTCTGTCTACCTATCTATCCATCATCTGTCTGTCTTTCTATCTATCTATCTATCTCTATCTATCTTCTGTCTGTCTGTGTCTATCTATCTATCCTCTGTCTATCTATCTATCTATCTATTGTCTGTCTATCTATCTATCTACCTATCCATCATCTGTCTGTCTTTCTATCTATATATCTATATATCAATTCAATTCCAAAATTCAGTCTGTCTGTTTGTTTGTCTGTCTGTCTGTCTGTCTGTCTGTCTGTCTGTCTGTCTATCTATCTATCTATCTATCTATCTATCTATCTATCTATCTATCTATCTATCTATCGTCTGTCTGTCTGTCTGTCTGTCTATCTATCATCTGTCTGTCTGTCTTTCTGTCTATCTATCTTCTGTCTGTCTGTCTGTCTGTGTCTGTCTATCATTGTCTGTTGTCTGTCTTTCTATCATTGTCTGTCTGTCTGTCTGTCTGTCTATCATTGTCTATCTATCATTGTCTGTCTGTCTATCTATTATTGTCTGTCTGTCTGTCTGCCTATCTGTATGTCTACAGTAACTTATCAACTAGAGTTTGGCAGTTCTGGTAAATGAATTACTTTAGATGCAAATACATTAAAAATACATAGTTTTTTACTTTGTACAAAGTTTTTTTTTTTTTTTTTTCTTCTTAAATGTGCCGTTATGTATGATACTTAGTAAAAGAAAGTAGGCCTACTATTGTGATGTGTTCATTATTCAAACATAACGCAGAAGGTATTCTGATTCAATGATAAAATAAAAATTCATGTGTGTTTTTCTTGACATAATAATCCAAAGCTTCTTCATTTATTATTAATAATTACAATCAGCAAACATCTTGGAGGAGTTTTGACATTTTAAAACGTTTAAACGTGGTTGTATACAAACAAAAACTATGATCAATGGTATAGGCCTATGTAAATTAATTTTCAAGAATCAGATTAGGCTACTTTTTCCTTTAGGCTAAAAAAAGAGACAGACCATTACAGTAAATTAGATTTGCTTCCATGCAAATGATTATGTACAATTATCTGCTGTTTCCTACATTATCAATTGCTTGTCATGTTGATCAAATTGTATTATGGGTCTCTGTTGAATTGTCTCACCCCCCACAACATTTAGGCATTAGTTCATAGCATAAGTCTTTACAAGCAAAATGGTTGAACGAGTTGTCATAATCAAGCATATTTCTATACATTTCCATTAGACTTTTTTTTTAAATCTGTCCTGTTCACATTTCTACTTTAGTTTTTTTCTTTTTTTTTTCTTTGTGCTATGCTGTGCTGTCGTTTCCTTTCTGTATTGCAATGACATGGTTTGTCAACAAATTACAGAACAAACAGTAAAAGCGTATGTGAATCTTGTCCAGTCTCTTGCAATCAAACTCCCACACACACTAAAGTGTGTAACCTACAATTTACAATAATTGTCATCAAAACTTTAGCCATAGAACATCAGAACATCCCTCCAGAGTACACTGTTGACAACATGACTAAGCAATTTGACTGTCTTATCCGTACACAATGACACAAGGATTTGTCCTTCTGATGGCACTGACATGTTCATTGACACAGATATTTACTTTTGAGAGATGAACTAAGGATTTTGAGCAAGAGACTGGCTTTTGCAGGAAATCCATGGTGTTTTGCTAAATTGTACGAATTGTTTTGAGAAATGCACTTACTGTTTTACAAATGTCGAGGATGATTCGAAAAATGTACCAAAGTGACTAAGAAAAACTGTAAATGATGAATGAAGGCGTTAATGAGAAATGTAAGCAGACCTCTGCTGCCACCTTGAGATCAATCTAAATAGAACATCAACAGAGAGAAGTAGACAAAGTTAGCCTATATTTATAATCACCAGAGGGCGTATGTTGAAATGTTTTTTGAACAATGTGACTTTTGAACAATATATTTATTTTTTAAGATTCAGATCCCACAAGGCCCCATGTGTTATGTCGTCTGTCTGTCTGTCTGTCTGTCTGTTTGTCTATCTTCTGTATGTCTGTCTATATCTGATTCCAATAATCAAATTCATTTTTAGGAATAACATGATTTTTATAAAATTTTCTGCATTTCTCTCTTTTCTGGTTATAAATCCCTTATTCCCTTACTTATGAAGTGAATTATCATATTGTTCACTTGCTCTAAAAAATCACACCATAAACTTTTGGTTATTTTAATTATTTATTCAATTGCATAGAAGTGAATATAATAATTAAACAACATGACAGCCAAGCAAAAAAATAAATAAAAATATTTTAACCCAACAACATTAGAGGATCCGGTGTTAAAGGTGCTGTAAGCAATTTCAGCCATTCTGCTATGAAATGTATGTATGTATCTATGGATAAAAAAAATGTTATGCAGTACCTTTTCCAGTTTTTTTTTTTCCTTACAGTATACTATACTGTACTATACAGTATACTATACTGGAGTATTGTAGCATGTTATTCTTGCTATTTTTTAGGACACCTATTTCAGTGAAATCAGTCTGGGAGTTCGGACATCTGCGTCTGAAAAAAATCCCGTAATGCACCTGTAAATTTCACAATATTTAAAGGTCACATTGATCCTCTGATATGAATGCTGCTGAGTAGATCTCTACTTTCAAATGTAGATATATTTAGCAGAGTGCAAAAGTAATTGGTATGTAGTTAGAAAGTATGTGTATATGCAGTCCTGAGTAGCTGATTACATGTTATCTGGGTTACATAATTAGATCCCAAAAATTAAGTTTACTTGTAATAAATTATATTACATTTTAAAATACTCATAATCAGACTGCAGCTATTTTTTTATTGATTACGTGTTATTCTCACAATGGCAGTAAATTATTCATAATTTATTTGATTGTCCCCAATACTTTTATTATCTTTTAAAAAAGCCAACTGCTTATATTCAGAAGGTCTTCCAGGTTTGTGGAATTGCACACACAGCCACTTGTCATGTGACTGTCACTGAAAACTGAGAGCCACACCGCAGTTGATCACTGCATTTACAGAAATCATTTCACTTTTAACAATTGTTTTCTTAACATTGCAATATTTTACGTCTAATCAGCTCCTGAGGAACACATTCATTATTTGAATTATCACTCAGTAAGTCATTTAACCATGAATTATATTACTGTCTCTGGAAAAAGCTTTCGACTTTCAAACTGACCTTCAAAGATGCAAATTCATTTCGTTTCATATTTACATGCAATGCAGGGATTCCCCAGTTGTTTGTCAGCTGAACCTCTTTGACCTAATATATTTACTTGAAGTACGCCCTTAGATTTTAAGATAATAAATTTGGTCAATAATAAAAATAAGTCAATAATAATAAATAATAAGTTCATGGTTCTCTGATGTTGGTTATTGGTCACATGACATGCAGGTAAATAAAATATGTCATCTTTTTTAGTGTTTTATTTTGATTGTTTTATTTGATTTGCACTTATGTAATGTAATATTTAATGTTTTTTTCAGGTTGTTGATAACAAAGAATGATATATATATATATATATATATATATATATATATATTCTCTCTTTGTATTTTTATATCAATATGGCATAAGATTATCCTATTCAAAACCAACGTGATAAACAAGTTAAGTCAAAAGTAATCTAAAAGTATCCGATTATATTACATTAAATATGTAAAATATGGATTACATTACTAACTACAATTTTTGTGATGCAATGTGGATAGTTGGACTACAATTTTAAATAATCTACCCAGCACTAAATATTTTTAAGCATATGATAACTCATTAGGGGAAGTTGTAAATATGCACTTCCAATAAACCTGGATCCTTGTTAGGTTTTCGCAAAAAACAGTTGTATGTCTCCATAAAATTCAAAGACATCAATGTCCTCCAGTTTAGCATAGCGATGCTTGTAAGTGTGTGCTTGCTGGCCATTCACACACACAGTGAACTGCTCTTTATTGCAGGAGATGGTGACCTGTAACACACGTACAAAACTGACAGTAAGATGTATATTTTTAACTCTTAAACGAATCGCTCACCTAAAAATGAGAATTCTGTCATCATTTGCTCACTCAAAATTTAAATAATGAGGCAATACATCATCAATTCTTTTTCCAAAATGTGTTTTTGTCTTACTTTGATTTACTAGGCCTATGGTAAGCCTATTGTAAGTGTTTATTTTAGATGTAGCTGGTTTTCACAGGAAATTTCATAGCCTACAGGGCACTCGCCCGTGTCTCGTCATATCCGTAAATAGAGAAAAGTTGCTCCGGCTACGCCATCTGATGGTTAGTAAAAAAATTAAGCAGCCAAAGGGTTGTGGAAGAAGCTCCATATGAAGCAGCCACCACACACTCCATAGATAGTTTCAATGTTATATGTGCACAAATAAAAGCCCAACGTGTGTGTGTGTGTGTGTGTGTGTGTGTGTGTGTTGAATTTCTCCCTCTGATAATTTAATTTACCCATTAAAGTTTGACAATAAATGCCAGTAGCCTATACAATAAAATAATTGAATATGATGTAATAGAGGAATAATGTATACATGTATGACTAACAGAGCTCATGGCAATTATTTTGCCTGAAATAGTTTGTATTCTTCATATTAAGTGAATCGCTCCCATGATGGCTTCGTTTGTCATCGATGTCGATGATCACGTGGTGATTGTGCTGTGTGCTCTATGCGTGCCTCGCAGCTTCAGTGTCAGTATCACTACATCCAGGGTATCACCTGTTTTTTTTAAAACCCACTGAACAGAGGAGAGTTTGTTGGCAAAAGGGGAGCGCGGCAGAGCTCGTAATAAAACTAGAACTAACAATGGCTTTGTTTTTCGGAGATGGTGAGAACTGGGGGATTTGAAATGTTGAAAAAGCAGTCTGCAGATGGTGCTTTTAATCAACTGGTGAGTATTTTACTGAACAGATAAATTGCCATTTTATATATCTCTCTAACAGAGTTCATTGTAAAGCATTATCTATTATGAAGGGTCATTTCATTATAGTTGTGGTAGCTGTGCTGGAATTCATTTTCATGGAAGTGCATGGCCACATTTACACTTAGCCGGGTTTTTAGAGAAACGAATAGAATCGGGACGGCTGATTCCTTTCCCTAGACCCCGGGGTGGGTCTTTTTTCCTGAAAACGGGGAAGTGTTTTATATTTGAATTCTTTCATGTGTTGTGTGCATGTGTGAGTGTGTATGTTGTAGTTCTGAGTTTTAGAGGATGTATGAACATTACAGGGTTGCCAACTTTGGTGATTTGCCTGGAGTGAGATTTCTCCCCAAACATGCGCATGCAGCGGCCTACTGGAAATTTTGGCCGGCGACCAATGCTGCCGCTGTGGTGCCGAATTCTGACCCCCGCCAAATTATTACCCCCCTAGTATGGTAGGTTTAGGATTAGTTGTGGGGGAGGGGTTAGGATTAGGGGTGGGGTTAGGATTAGGCAATCAGGTACTGATTGCAACGATCGGGGGGTAATAATTTGGCAGGGAGTCGAAATTCGGCACAACACCGCCACCACAAACCTCTTAGCATCTAAACCTACACCGACTACATGAATTTTTCAGTGTTTGATGTTTTTGTTTTTGTAAAAACGTTTACGCTGGACTGGGGACGCGCTGATATTTGCACTTGATAATCGTTTGATCACGATTTCTATTGTGCCGTGCGGGGCTGGGAATAACCACTGGAGTGCAGTGTAATGACGTTTGTCCTAGTGGGGGCGTACTGAGTTGGCCTAAATGTTTGTTGAACTTCTTTAAATGCTTATTTAAATAATGGTTATATTTTTCTAAATTAAATTGCCAATAAAGTGATATTTTTCCATAAAGTCCTGTGTTGTGATGTACCCTGTCCTCCATAAATCTGGTTAAACCTCTTTAAAGAAATTTAAAAGGTTTGCTACAGAAACGTTTCAGAGAATCAGATTGAGATCCTATCCATCTAAAGTTTATTTTGCTTTATCAAACAGTTTTATGAAATATTTTTTTAAAGTACTGTTTGTTTTAAAGTACTGTTTTATGCTACTGTTTTAAATTACTGTTATGCAGTTATGCTGGTCAGAGACTTTGCTCCTGACACATGTTTTGTGAAATATGTAAAAATGTGTTATTACTCAAAATTAAAAAATAAAACCTTGTTATGATAATGTAGTTTAATGAATTGAGATGTTTTTTTTATACAGTTAGCCTACTAAATAACACTTATATTTCAATAAATGAAAAATCCTCTAAATATGTATCCGGCCCCTGACTTTATTCACAACCCTCAGCATGGCCCTTACTGAGTTTGAATTTGACACCCCTGATCTAAACTGTCTGGTTATATATATATATATATATATATATATTGAGCCTAGTAGTGTAAGCCTCTAGGATAACCATTTTCTTCCGCACAGTCACGCATAGCAAGCACAACCCATGCTGGGAACTCCTAAAAGGTTCTATATATGAAACTCCTGACAGAACCCCTTTAAGGTTCTATATAGAACCTTTTCTTCTAAGAGTGATATACACTTCAGATTTGAATCAAACATGAGTCAATGCATTTGAATAAAAACAGTATAAGAATTATGCCTACCTGAAAGAGTTGATCTTTTTTAAAAGGCACAGCTCCACACTTTTCTTCTTCCCCCCACGTCCCATTCTCAAAGGTATTGCGGACAACCACATTCTCCTCAAAAAGGGATTTGTAATGAAGTGCAACCCCATATCTGTGACGGAGATTGAACACTACCCTAATGAAGAATGGAACAGAAGAGTGGATATGTTGTCATAAACATAAACTGTATGTTTACACAAATGTTTATGTTGCCTATGTTTATGTAATGTATTCTCTTGAAACAAAGTCACATTTTAGAGTCAGGGTTAGGAACTCCATAAACGACAATGTCTTTTTCAGGCTGTAGTCCACCATTGATCACGGCTTTGTATGGAACCACCTGATGGCACGAAAAAACATAAAAGGGTAAAAGAATTTTATACAATTGTTTAGTATAGAAAAATAAAGGGGTCAAATGACAGGCCAGTAGTGATAGCTATATAGTGGTAGTGATTTTTTTGTTCTCACCACAGGATTCTGGTAGCCAATGAAATCCAGATCCATCAATTTATCCACTAAGATTGTGTCCACCCGAGTGAAGGGAATGCGGTGTTTATAGTCCATGAAGTATTTCCCGTTGACACTTATCTATGGAGAACCATTGTATAATAAGCAAAATGGTAGATAAGGATTCTCTTGCCTATAAAGTTAACCTTTTGTTGGCAAAAAGACAATCACTTTGAATGAGATTTTTTTTCTCTCTCAAAACAATAAGTTTAGTAAGGTTCTTTGAACAATTAGTTTTTAGTCACAACATCTTAAATTCTGTTCTAACTGCACACGTTCTGGAATGTGTGAAAAAAGTACAATTTCAATAATTTGCAGAATAACAAAATACATTTGGCCTGCTGATCAAAATTGATGATTCTCTGTGAAACTGTCATCACAACTTCTAAACATTCTTTCATGATTGAGTGAAAGTCAAATGATCCATTTAATTGTCAAAATGTGTCTGACCTATGTTTATTTGATAAATATCTATAACATTATGTTTACTTTACAGTGTCTACTAAATTGGCAAATGAGCTAGTAATGAAATCTACAATCCAGTCAACAAATTAAGTTTCCAACATGGAGTTTGCCTGAAAGTCATTTTATGGGAATTTTCTCTAAAAAATATTTGTAATCACAACTTTTTTCTTTTGTCAAATCAATTAAGATAATTAATGTGGTTCAGATAACATAATATTTTGAGTTTGTTAATTAAACCAATCTCCTTCATTGTATTAACTTGAATTTTGAATTTCAATGAATTCGAAATTTTAAGGCAACCGGGTTACTTTTTTAAGTTACATGTAAGAAATGTGTAAAACAAAAGGAACATGCGAATGTGTGTTTTCTGTTTAAATGCAACACATTACTAAGAAAAATAAACGTACTGTATACATAAAAATGTGCATTTCCCATTAAACTGTTGAAATCTGTATCTAAAAAGCTTGGTGAGATAGTTTTATGTTAGACAAAAATGAAGTCCTATATCAAACAGTCAGTCAACAATTTTTTTAAATTTGTATAAAAAACACCAGGGTTGACTGCCATGGTGAAAAACATTTAAACATTTTGGTTGGTACAGCGCAGATGATGATTTTTTAAACAAAAAGGCAATTTTGGTGGCATTGGCAAATTAACTGCCACAATAAATAGGTTTTGAAGCATGAAATTAATGTTTTGGGTGAGTTACATTTTGAAGACATGCAATAGAGTTTCACCGAAAAAAGCAACTGCTATAGCATGATCAAGTGGTGAATACAAGATGTCGTACAGACTGTATACCTTGTATGTCTCCTTGGTAACAAGAATCTGGAGGATGAATGGTTGGTTTTGGAGTAAGAAAGAGTCTGACTTGCATTCTTCTGAACCCCAGCAAGAGTTCTGGAAAGTGTTCAACACTACAGTTGCAAGGCCATCATAGCGTGGGTTAAAGTGCAGAGCAATATCAGCATTGGATTCAGAACCACACTGAAGGTTCACATTAAATCTGCACAACACAGAATGACAGTTGTATACAAAACATAGCGATGCCAAAATAATATTTTTGTATATATAATAAAAACATTAAGATTAATTTGTACTTTAAAATATTATTTACCTGCCAGCCTTTGGCAAAATCCTTCCAATTACGATAACGCTCTTCCCTTCCTGCAAGCCCCCCAGGAGTGGACCAGTGAATGGCATTTTCTGTGTTGGAGATGTAAGAATATTTATGCATTTTTGTTTTGAAGACTAATAAAGTTATTAATCTGACAAGATAGCCCTAAACGTTGCTGCATACCTCGATCTCCAAAATAGCTATTTCTGAGTGAAAAGTGTTTCAAAGTAATCCCTATGCCAATTTTGCAGTGTATATGAATAATTTTAGAGTCATTTTATATTAAAAATGTCACTTACTGGTTTGCAAAAAGGCTGTTGCTGAGAAACTGCCATCCTGCCAATTCTTACTTTTTTTCAGTCTCAAAGCGAATCTTCGGCTGGGTACCAAGGATGATCAAACATGATGTTGAGTAGCCTAAATATAGCTGTGATATTAAGCCTGCCCATAAATTATACAAAGGTTATACATACAGACAGCTAAAATGCAAACCAGAATAAAGACAGCTAATTCTAGAAACAGTCAAATAGGCTACAGGTAATAAATTAAATTTGAGTGGTGTTGGTGTAACCGTGATAATGAAGAGCATGACTGATAATATGACCAAAGAAAAGCAAGAAAGTCACAAAAAGGACATATTGGATATCTAAGGGAGATAGTGGAATATTTGTTCCTGGAAAGATAGACCCACCTGGAAAGTACTACCTGGAAAGTACCTGGAAAGTACCAGGAATATTGTTGACCAGACAGTTAAAATGCAAACCAGAATAAAGGCAGATAACACTAGTCCAGAGAAATATTATGGAACCTTAAAATACCATAGACCCCAGGCATGAAAATAAGATTCAGTATATATAAAAACTCTGCCTCGAATGTTCTAAAAAGGACTACAAATTGCCATCTGAATAAACAATTCGGGAATCTTAGATTATCTGGAACATTCATATCTCTGAAAAACTGACCTTACATTTCCAAAAGAGTTAAACACAGTTTAGAGGAGACCGCTCTGTTTCTCCACCATTTTTACATTAGCTTGCCATTCTTTCTGGCCCCAAACTCAATACATCTTCATTTTGCACATTTCATTACACCTAGAGCAGTGTTGCACTTATTTCAGTCATTGTCGTCTAGCCAAAACCTTTCTTTAACATTCTGCAAACTCTGTTATGAAAATAAAACTAATATAGCCGAACCACAATAGAACCATTAGAAAACGTATCATTAAGTTGTCACATTAAAACCTCCTTACAATGTTCTGGAAATGTTTGTGTCACACCACAGAAGAAGATCAGAGAATACCGTTTAAAGGGTTTTAATGCCAGAATTATTAATCAGCAACAGGTAAGACATTTGATAGCATGATACTGTAAGACTGGAAAACTGGTTAAAGAGAAATTATCTGACCACTGGTCTCCGAAGACAAAGGACCTTGCTTGCAAATTAACATGTGAACAACTCTCTCACACACACACACACACACACACACACACACACACACACACACACACACACACACACACACACACACACACACACACACACACACACACACACACACACACACACACACACACACACACACACACACACACACACACACACACACACACACACACACACACACACACAGCTTCCCCCCACTCTTGCAGATCACCTGAAACTCACATAAGAATATATGTATGGTTTTAATGTGAAGGATTATCATTGAGTATTATGTTTGGTATCATTTTAAAGGTCTCAGGGTGGCTGGTTCAGATGTCTCATTCCAAATAAGTAAAACAAAAGGAAATAAGGTTTTTAAGAATTTAGGAATAACTGGCACACAAAAGAATGTGGTTTCTAGGCACTCCCAAAGGTGTAAATTCATGAATGCTAATTTCCACTGTTCTTAGCAAATGGTCAACTCCTAGCCCCAGTAAGTCTGGGGAGGGGACCACAGTAAATTACATATCAAAGGAGGTCTGGATATATAATGAAATGCAACGGAGAGTTCAGGGCTTTTTCTGTATTTCAGATAGCCCATGAGTTAGCTCATGTAGTTCTTAAATGTTGGGTTTGCATCTGTTTTCTCTTATCCTAGAGCATTTGATGTTTTGTATTGATGATATTTGAACTGATTATGAAATTGGCATAATACTTTTACCTGACATAATAAATTGTTATACTTGATAATTCTAACAGACTTTGATATTATTTTCATTGGAGATAAAAGAAACAGTCAAACATTAACGTATAGCCTACTTAATGATGCACAGATATCATTGAAAAACACTTTCATTTATGGAGTCAGATGAAACGAGTTAATATTAATACATAAGATAAAAAGTATTGCATTTAATTATAAATCCCTCTGCCATTGGAAGAGACGGAACGCGCGTTGAGACCTTCACCGCTAATTTGAATGCCGGCATTGGATCAAATTAGCAGGTCTTACAATACAATGATAAAACCATGTGAGATTTAAATAAACACTATTTAAGTTGTTAATACCATGTGTCTCTGTCTGTTATTCAAGTTATGTTATTTATTGTAATGGCCTTGAAAACAAGTTCATTCAGCATTATCTAAAACGAGTCCCCCAAGAAATGTAGCCTTCAGTATTTAGGTAACACATTTAAAATACTGTCTTTGAAGTCAAGTCACATTTATTTATATAGCGCTTTTTACAATATAGATTGTATCAAATCACCTTAAGTGATAACTTGAAAATAATACAACAAAGTTTGTTTCTAGAAGAAAATTGCGTCAGATTGGATCAGAACATTCCGCATATTTATCCAGTCATCACCTCGATATGGAGACGAGTTTGTTGAGGATTAGTGCCGATGGCTGTTGTGTTGTGGCCTTCACAGGGCTGATGAGGCTGGCACTTCAGGGATGCATTGTGGATAGGTCCAGGCGCAGGTCCACCATCTGATATACGGCCCGGATCCTGCATGCTGACTTCAGTAAACCTCGGAATAAACAGAAAGACTAACATTAGCGTAGATGCCATTCTTTTTTATGATGTAACGAGTACATCAGGTGGTATAGGAAGTGTCCCCGGTTCCGGCTGACCTAATCCGTGAAACCTAATAATCATTTAACTGATTTGAATAATAGAAATGTATAATGTTCTATATAAATGCCAGGTAAAAGAGATGCTGGATTTAAACTAGATTTAAACTGACTGAGTGTGTCTGCTTCCCTGACAATGTTAGGAAGACTGTTCCAAAGTTTAGGTGCTAAATAGGAGAAGGATCTACCGCCAGCAGTCAATTTTGATATTATCAACTGGCCAGAATTTTGAGATCACAATAGACGTGAAGGACTATAATGCGTTAAGAGCTCGCTCAAGTACTGAGGAGCTAAACCATTTAGTGCTTTGTAAGTAATCAGCAATATTATAAAATTTATACGATGTTTAATAGGCAGCCAATGCAGTGCAGGCTAATACGGTCAAACTTTCTGGTTCTAGTGAGAACTCTAGCTAGCTACTGCGTTTTGGACCAACTGGACTTTTTTTATTAAGCGTGCAGGACAACCACCCAGTAGATCATTACAATAATCTAGCCTTGAGGTCATTAATGCATGAACGAACCGTTCCGCATTTTTCATTGAAAGCATATGTCGTAATTTAGATATATTTTTAAGATGGAAGAATGCGGTTTTACAGATTAGAAATCAAATGAAAGATTGGTATCAAAGAGCAGTTCCTAACCGACGACGAAGACTTGACAGAGCAGTCATCAATTGTTAGACAGTATTCTGGGTTAATACGTGCAGTAAAAACTCTATTTTTTTTTCAGAATTAAGTAGGAAATTACTAGTCATCCAAATTTTTATATCATCTATGCATGTTAATTTTGTGAATTGGTGCGTTAATATAGAGCTGAGTATCATCAGCATAACAGTGAAAACTAGTTCCATGCTTCCTAATGATATCTCCCAAGGGTAGCATGTACAGAGTGAGCAGCAATGGTCCTATCACTGAGCCTTGTGGTACGCCATACTGAACTTTTGATCGATATGACATCTCTTCATTTACTGCTACAAAATGATAACTGGTCAGATAAGTATGATTTGAACCATGCTAGTGCAATTTCACTAATGCCAACACAATTTTAGAGTCTATTCGAATGTTGTGGTCGATGGTATCAAATGCAGCACTAAGATCGAGTAACTCTAATAGAGAGATACAACCACGATTGGATGAGAGTAAATCATTTGAGAGCAGTCTCAGTACTATGATATGGTCTAAATCCTGACTGGAAATCCTCGCAGATACCATTTCTTTCTAAAAAAGGAACATAGTTGTGAGGATACTGCCTTTTCTATTAATTTTGACAGAAAAGGTAGATTCGAGATCGGTCTTGATTAATTCTCTAGGATCAAGTTGCGTTTTTTTAAATAAGAGGTTTAATAATAGCCAGCTTAAAAGTTTTCGGTACATATCCTAGTGACCAGAGGTGGGCACAAATACATCAAAAACTATTTTGTTACAAAATACAAATACTGGCTCATGAAATGTAACAAAATAAAATACAAAATACTGATGTGAAAAATGTATTTAAATAAAATACAAGTAATTACTATTTTGAAAATACAAAAATACTCCCACAATAATCTTGTCTTTTTTTTTTATTACTGAAAGGTCAATAGCACAAATAGTAGCAATAACACAAATATGATAAATGTGTAAATTCAAAATGGCGAAGTAGCAAAATAAAAAAGTATGGGCATTTCACTAAATCTCTACAGGGCCTGAAATAGCTCCCTCTGACGTAAATGGCATGTATAGCTAAGTTCACATCAATGGTGTGGTAGTTTTATACAAAATCAATATCAATATTTCTCATATGTAATACGTTTATATTGTGAACGCTTGCTTAGCATGGAAATTTCAGTGGAGTTACGACAGACGCACTGTTTCATAATAGGTAGGGCATATGATGTCCTTTATGAATGACAACACAGTGCATTGATCTCATAAGGCACAATTATTTTCTCTATAATGCCATTCAGTGTGCAATATGTGTGTGTGTAGACTGTATATTTTTCACAAAACACTTTACCTTAAAGGTGCTATCAGCGATTTCAGGCCCAAAAAAGGCCGAAACATAAATGATCACATTCATCTAATTTTTCCTAGGGGGAAATCACCGACAGGGTGTTGTGAGGTTTTGCTCCGACTTCGCGTGCAGCCGTGCACGAGTGCAAAACCTCACAACACTGTCGGTGATTGGTTGGAACACTGTTTATTTAGGTTTTGGTGGTTGGTGAAACCCATTGTTTTTGTGTGCAGATCTCAGAGCCTAGGCTGCCTACAGAGACGCGTTTTTTGGACGGCCTGCTTATGGGGCGGGCAGCTAGCGGATCGCTAGGAAAAAATAGATGAATGAGATCATCATTTATGTTTCGGCCTTTTTTGTGCCTGAAATCGCTGATAGCACCTTTAATGCCGTTTTTAAGAGGAGCAGCGCCACTTCTTCTCCTGTGTTCAAAACTCATTCACTTCTTGGAGGGAGCCCGGTCTACAGGGTGTCACGTGATTTCCGTGCATCTAACCTGGACATTGCCATTGCCAACATCACACCGAAAATATGGCTAAATCTTTTACTATGGTGATTTTTGGAAGTATTTAAGTATTTTAAATACTCTAAATACACTCCCTCAAAATATTTTGTTACAAACTACATTTTATTTTTTCCACACCTGCAAAATACAAATTACAAAATAACACTAAAGTAATTAAATACGTATTTAAAATACATTTAATTGAAATACTGCCCATGTCTGCTAGTGACAAAGATGAATTAATAATATTAAGAAGAGGATCTATGACCTCTGACCTCTAAATCATTCATGTTGTTGATTTAGATGATTTAACGAGTTTAGA